GGAAAAAAAAAACTATTGCGGTCTTACATTCATATAGATAACAAAAATAGAGATAAATAATAAAAAATAAAAAATAAAAAATAAGAATTGATAAACAAATTCTTCTTTCGTCCACGAGTAAAGAAGCCTACCTTTGATGGATGAAATAAGTTGTCGGATCGCATTATATGAAGAAAGAAGATAATCACAAAATAGTCAAAGAAGAAAAGAAAAATTGAGAAGAGAGAAAATTATAAAACAACATTTTCGCTAGAGTTCTTCTGTGCTTCTACTAGTACAACCCATATCTCAATTTATAGACAAAGGATTGAGTTCAAATTAGCAAAATTAATTGAAATGAAATCTCAATTAAAATATGATTCTTTATTCCATTTCAAATTTGAAATTTTGTTGGATTTTAAACTCATATCAACTTTAAGTTAAATACGATTTTTTATTCAATTTCGAACTTGAAATTTTGTTGAATTTCGAATACGACTCAAATCAAAGCCCACATTTGTGTTATCCAACGTTCAATTAAAAGTTGGATAAATTTCAAATTTTCAAATTCATCTCAAATTTGAATTTGGATTATATTTCGATTTTTAAATTTCTTAAAATAGGTTGGATAAATTTCACATTTTCGAATTTGATCCAAAACTTAAATTTGAACCATAATCCAGTTCAATTTAGAGTTTTTATAAATTCTAAATTTTCAAATTTATCCCATATAATTTGAATTATATTATGACTTTTAAATTAAGTTGGATAAACGTCATATTTTGGAATTTGATAAAAGAAAAAAAAATTGAACTATAAATATAAATTCAATTAGAAGATCAACTTGAAAGTAATTTTTTTTTTAAGATAATTTGGATTACAATGATAAATTTCATATGAATTTAAAATTAAATTGTGTAATTTATCAGTAATATTTTAGTCCACCGTAAATTTTTTTTAGAGTTATGATCCAAATTCATATTTTTTATTGTAGAATATTTTCGAAGTTGATCTACAATTATGTTTGACATAAATTTTGATAAAAAAACATTTGTATAACCATAAATTTGGAGTTAATCATAAACACGCATGTCATTATTAACAAAACTATATTTTATTTGGAGTCAATTATAAATTATCTGTAAATTAAAAACAAAAATGACAATTCTCAAATAATGTCAATGTCTTTCATTAGGCCATTTGGATTAGATTTAAGAGATAATGTGTTCGATAAGCTATTTTACAAACTTATTTTCACAAATGGTTCAATGTTTACAAATTTTACAGTTTTAGATTTGTGGATTTAAAACTTTTTTCAAATGTCAAATTTGTCCTTATTTATGGCATAAAATTTATTATAATTTGTCTTTTATTTAAATGCAAAAGATTAATATTCCAAATTTGATTTTGTAAACATTAAATTATTGTGAGATCTAAATCAATCATTCTCATAATTCCCTAATTTACTGAAATTTATTACAAAATATTCAATTATTATCATAATCCTCAAATTTACTCCTTAATATATTCTACTAAATAATGAAATTTATTACAAATATTTTTTCATTTTATTATATTTTTTGACCAAATTTCAATAATATAATCATTATAACATACACTTTTATATATATATATATATATATATATATATATATATATATATATATATATATCCTTTCAGTTATATGAAAATATAAACTATATCCAGCTATAAATTTAAGCAACATACACTTAACAATGGTGATATAATCTATAGTCATTATAACATACACTTATATAGAGATATAACCTATATCTGGCTATAAAGTATATACGACTATATCCCTCTACAATTAACAAACAAAGCAAATAATCTACAAACCTTCCGGTCGCGACTAGACAATGACCGGGATAAACGTAGGGTTGGAATGATCGACGGGCTGCCGACGACAAAAAAGAAACCTTGGGATAAACGGACTGAAACAATGGACAAGCGGCCGGAGACGAAGGGAAAGCTAGACGAATTGTTCCGACGACGAAGAAGAACGGAGACAAGGCTGGAGACGAAGGAATGCAGACGGCGGCCGGAGACGGAGACGAAGGAATGGATGGAAATAGAACGATAGAAGAAGAATAAAAGTCGGAGGAATGAGGTTTTCAAATTTTTTCCATAATGGAGGATTTTAGGGATTTGATATTTTTCACTTTTCGACGGTCTAGGCAAAATTCAAGGGATTTAAAATGTAACCTCCCTAGCTAATTTTGGATTTTAAAAATTAATTAATATTGAGGTGAGATAAAAAAAGATATATTAGTAAATTGAGTGATGGGTATCATCCTAAATGAGGTTGTCTCATGACAAAAATGTAAATTTTATACATTTCAATCCTTTTATGTAATTATAGTCTCTAAATAGCCTATCAATGTACTAATTTCTCGATTCAATTGATCGAATTGCGCATATAAAATTGGGCCTATAATCAAATTAGTTCACAAATCTATTAGATGATATTTGGGAAATCATGAGTAATGGTTACGTACAAGATATCGTAATGAAAAATGGCCAAAGTTTTCGTAAATTGCATATATGGTCATACTTGGATTTCCTAAATTTTAAGGGAGGGGTAGAATTCCATATTAACCCCTACACACATTTCATGCGATATTGCTCTTGCATTCTTTCTCAATTTTACCCGTCCACTTTTCAGCTACACACATCCCAAAAATCACATTATCAAACCGTCAAATCCCTAAAATCTCTCCATAACCAAACCAGCAAGATCTCGGAAACTACCAAATCTAMATTATCAAACGACCAAATCTACCTATATCATTCAAAATTTTTAAAAATATTACTAATTTGTCTCCAATGTATTTAATTAAAATCTATAACAAACCTAACTAATTGGGCAATAAATTTCATTGCAATCATCATCTTAAATACGGTGTCTCCTAAATATTTTTACAAAAGTTTCATCAATTCCCATTTTTTATCAACCCAACAATCTCAAGTTCTTCGAGACATTGAGGGATCAACAAATCGAGCAGATAATGACTTGTAAAGTTTGAGCCTCCAATTCCGTGATCGAAATTCATCTAGTAAGCATTCGGATTATAAGAAGAATTCAATTCAACAATGGAAGAATTGAAAATTTTTTTCTCTCCTTGATAGTTTTTTGCCACAAAATGTGTCACTCGATCTCCATTTTAATTTATGCATTTGAATCCTAATTTGCAAAAATTAGAAGCAAACATTGAATGAATAGATATTTAAGGTAATATAATTATTAAGAGTTGAGAGAAGGTAGTAGAAGATGATTGGAAAGGAAAATATGTCTCCTTCCCCACGAGACATTGTAGTCATAATGAGCAGTCACATGATCTCATTATGTCTTTTGCAGCCGGGCTGATTGAGAAAAATTCAGATACCGTATGTATTTTTACTTACTATGTCTTCATTCTGTCTATACACTGTACCTTTTTACTTGCTCTATCTTTATTCTGTCTAGTGCCTCTTTACTTACTCTGTCTTTATTCTTTCTATACGCCTCTTTACTTACTCTGTTTTTATTGTCTATACACGAATTTACCCTATATTAGATAGTGATTATCCTTAACCATGTAAAGACTAAGTAATGAAATGATGCAAGCAAGTCTCTCGTTATGGTGTAAGTAAACTACTTTCAGTACCACGTAAGTATTATTATATACAACGTATGAATAAGAAAATACCTAAGCTTCATCCTCGTCCAAGTGCTTCACCATGTTTCTAGTTTGTCCTAACCTTGATTTGTAACCTATTTTGTAGGTTCTTTTATTATCGTTTACGTTTTTTGGGGAGAATGAGACGGTTTGTGAGTTTGGTATTAATTATTGTGTCTCCCAATGTAGCTACTCATTTCATAGTTTTAAAAACAGTATTTGATTTTTCAATCTTATTTTTTATTCATTTTCCACTTTTCTAAATTGATTTTATGTTTTTCTAGTCCATTTTACATTTTGATTCAATCTTAATATATATATATATATATATATATATAATTTGAAAGTATGCATTTAAAAGATTTTATCTTACAAATTTCAAAATTTCTAAATCTAGATGTTATTTAAAATTTTTGAACTTTATAATTTTGATTCACTATTTTATTTTAAGGGTATTTTCGCTACAAATTTATAGGGATAATGACAAGATAAATTACCTATTTTGATTGGAGGGTATATTTATCCACATAAAATTCTCTAATTCAACTCTAACCACCTTTGAGCTATTTCTCTGATATTTGATTCTTTTGGCCATTTTTCAAATCAAATTATTTAATATAGTTACTCCTCTAGTTGCCCCATGATATTTTGACTCAAAACCCAAATTACCAGAAGACCATTTGGTGGATTGATAGTGAAATTTGAATAAGTCTAAAACCACTTAAATAATTAGGTTGGGTCCAAAATCACTAAGCCCATATTTTCGAAAATTAAATTGGGCTCATGACGAGTTAAATCTATTGGTTAGGTCCAAAATTACCAAGCCAAAAGCCCATTAAAGTCTGTAGTAAACTTTATAAATAGAAGAGTCTTCTCCATTTTTAACAAGTTCATAAATTGAAGAATTCAAAAGCAAATTGAAGATTCTCTCGGAAGCCCTTGAGATTGGAAGACTTGAAAACTTAAGAACTCGAAGACTTGAAGACTTATGAACTCAAAGACTTTGAAGAGCAGAAGACTTTCAAAGCACATACGACTTCGATTAAAAGAACAAACATCTCAACCTTCAAATAAAGTTCGAGAGAAAGAATTAGAAAAATAAAGACTAGAGATTGAATCCACCACACAAACATAGAACAAAATCAAAGTTCTAACTCTACGAACCAGATTTCTCCGAAAATCTTGTATGAACCGTGTAAATACTAAAAGTTCTTGTAAATAGAATATTAAAAATTACAACTTTATGTATGATTTTTTTTATAATAACTTTATGTATGATTTATTTTAATAATGTAATTTTTTTACTGAAAATAACTAAAATACTAATAAAATATATAAATAAAATCTAGATTCCATAATAAATATTAATTTAAATTAAAAAACTACAAAATTGAATCAGGTACATTGTATGCAATTTCCCTAGAATCACTTGCCTTATACTCTAATTTCTGGAAATTGGCTACAATGTACACGATTTCCAATCTAACGTGGCAATCTTTAAATTGTGCAGAACATGATGCAATTTTTTTATTTTGACCGATGCCTACCCTACTTTTGTCCATAGTTTTCATACCTACCTTAGTGTTGAAATTTCTTAATTAATTTATATTTCTTTTGATGTTACTTGGAAATCTACATTATTTGTGTAATATATTTTTGGTTAAAAAACACATTTGGTCCTGAATTTTCAAAAGTAGCAATTTAGTCTTTGTACTCTAAAATTAGTTACAATTTAGTCATTGCCGTTAAATATTAGGTTAAACTTAACAGAATTTTATAATGTGGCTGCTAATTATGGGTTGTTTCAAGATCAAATTGGTTCATGGGTCGGTTTAGGGCTTTAGAAAAGAAAGAAACCAGAAACCAAAGATCTTTCCCACCCTTTCAAGTAATGACAACGCAGACCAGAGATTTAAACGGAATAAGCAATTTTTTCTGCGTTTCGTCCAATTTTCGTTGACATTAGACTTCAATAACAAAAATGGAAAAAAAAAATTGAAGCGGTGTGATTCAAATTTTGGAGTCCATATGAGATTTTAAAATGGGTGATAGGTTTGCGAGTTGCGGTGAGGTGGGATTAACAAATTGAAATTTGTTCCTCATTACAAGGGGATCTTTCTGTTCCGATCCTACCAGAATCGCACGCCAAAACCCCTAATTATTCGATGAATGAACATTGCATCAAAGGGTGGGGAACAGAAATATTTAATTAAATAAAATATAATTAAATTATCTATATCAATATAGAAAAAAATATAATAAAACTTGAAATATTTAACAAAAGTTTTTAAATAAAATTAAATTCCTTTTCATATAAATGGTTGAAAAATGAAAAGAGAGACTAAAACAAAAAATTATAATATTATATATTTATCACTATTTCATATTTTTATTACTAATGAATTGGAAATCATTAAAAGAACCGAGGTCTACGGCCTAAACTCAGTGGATATAAAAGTCTAAATTATTTACTTTAAATGAAAAAGAATAAAACTTCGAAACTTTTTAATTTAAAAAATGACAAATATATACTCTTTTTTTTTTTGTAAACCATCTTTGACACTTTCAAACCCGGGACAAGAGATTAAGAATCCAATGGCATGTATAAGCCAACGAATCATAAGATATTTTATGTGCATTTAACCTAACATGGATCCGCCCCATCCTTTTATTTCCATTCTCATTCCTTCTTCAAAAGAATGGACATTGCAATTACATTAGTAATAAGCAATTTGCAATTAGAGATAAGAGAGAGGGTGAATGGTATGAATGGCATTAAGAGGGGGATTAGAATTTGACTATGGTGTGACATTACATAATACATTATACATATATTTTTAGAGCATACAAAAGTAATTGGGATGATGATGAGCTAATGCTAAACTAGAGTTAGCTCATCACTTATTTTGGGAGCTTCAGAATAATCAATGGAAGCAATCTTCTGTCTTAGCCTCAGCAATTCTTCACCAGCATCACATATATATGCACAAGCTTGCCTCCCTGATAAAGTTGCTCCTTCCATGCTGTCTATGTAATCCTGCAGTGCACAAATATTTAAACAAAATTATGGAATTCGAATTCAGATTCATTCTCGTCATAAAATCAACTTTCGTTTCAGTTTAGAAATACCTGTTTTGTGTACGATCCAGAAAGGAAGAAGTTTTTAATCGGCGTCTTCTGATCTGGTCGAAATGGATCTCTACCGGGTGCCTCGCGGTATAGAGACTGTCCGATTTTGACAACTGATGACCATGTAACTTCGAGACCTTGCGACGATGGGAATAAAGCCAAGACCTGATGTAACAAGTGAAAATCACGATACAATGTTTATGTTGATACACACACACAAATATATATATATATCTATAGCAAAAGTAGACTTTGGAGAAATCATAGAAAATTATCTCGTTCTCGAGGAAAGTTATTCAGGGCGAAAAATACTTTTTCTAATTAAGAACATGTTCCAAAATTTTCATGATATTTTGTTATATAATCAAAAGGTTCTTTTAAACTTCTACGGAAAAAAAAAATTCTTTAAAGAGTTCGGAAACTTTTGAAGGATCAAAAAGAGCTTTTAACCAATTAAAAAGAAAATTCTCACGTATTTGGATACATAATTGAAAGAAATTTTTGGCTATGTCTATGAAAAAATAACACACCTGTTTCGCCACTCTTGCTACAATCTCATCATTTACCAATGGCATGTACGGATCCCCAGGCGTCAGGACACATCTGAAAATTAAGGTAGCTTTAAAATCAAAACATAAAATGCAAAATGACATTAATGATTAAACAAAGTAAGTTTCCCAGAAGCACACCAGTAAAATCAAGTTCATCATTCTAATAACGTCCGTGTTTCTCGTTTTCTAGTTTGTAGAAACACATGCATTTGATAACCTGTCCCGGTTTCACGTTTTTCTTACAAAAAGTAAAATAAATATTTAAAACATTAAATACAACATAATAGTTTTTATGTAATAGTTAAAATTTTTTAATTAAAAGTTTGAGAGAACAAAAAAAAAAGGAAAAGAATTATTACCAAACACATTTTTATTTTTTTTCCAATAAAATAAACAATAAAAAATTACCAAAATTCTGTCAAGAGTAACAAGAGTCTTACTGCAGCAACGATCCTTGTCCCTCAACGTAGTAATCCTCGGGGGAGGTAAGCGCTAGATCTGCAAAGCAAGAGAAATCTGCATCTGGTGTGTACAGAAGATTATCCAACCCCACAGCTTTCCTTGACTGCCTACACTCAAAAGTCAAGGAACATCCATCAAGATATAGAACGATAACTTTTACAGTTCTACGTAACGAATTAGTGCTTTTAGTTTATAAACACGGTTGATTCCTAAGCGGTTTATTGATCTACATGTGTATAAGAATGTAACCTCATTAAACAGTAACAAGATTTTACATGGTATGAGCTAAATCTTTACAAATTTTGAACTTAAGAAAAAAAAAAAAGAAAGATAGTTCATGGACTAACTTGTTACCATTTTGAGAGTATAGGACCAAATCGTTATTTCAATAAATAAAAGTATAATGACCAAAAGTGTTTTTGAACCTTTTAGAAACAAAAACTATTTCTTTTTTCTTTCAAGGTTTGATAAGGATTTCAAAATTTTTTTTTAAATAAGATTAGAAAACACAGAATAATGTCACTAAACGAGCATGATAATCTGAAAAAACAAAAAAATTAATCAAACATAGCTTATAAATTTCATCCACAAGACAAAAACAACGAAATCAGTTACAATCACCTCGAACGTTCTAGATCTTGCAGCTCGGTCACCCATCCGTTGTATCGAAGTTGGACAGTGACAACAGGAACTCCGACTAGCTTATAAATATTATCAAAGAACTCCCATTCTCTCCATTGTGGTGGGATCAGTCTTTTGATTCCAGGGACATCACATGCTGTCATCAAGGGCTATAGTTTATTTAAAATTTTAAAAACAAAAAGGTAGGGAAGAAATATAGCAAGGCACAAACCTGCAACATAAGCATCAGCTGTCACAATTTTCTTATTTGTGGCCTGAGACAAAAAAACAGAGTTCATTAAGCAAAAATTATCAGTCCCATGAATTCTGTCTATATTTTACATCTCAGAGTTATTCTTCACCAACTCGAGTCTGTTTTTTAATTTCCTCTCTGGAGAAGAACACAATTCAGGGAATGTAAATGTTTTCGGCAAAGAGTCTCAAATGGTCAAATGGCCATTCCCTTTGACATGTCTAGTGCAAAATCACTTGGTTTGGTTTACTTCTACTTGTTATTGAAAGAAGGTATTTTCTTTCAATAGTGAACAAGATTCCCATGTTTCGGTTTTCCATCTTTGATCACAAATGGCGACTTGAGATGCATTAGAATGTACCGAAACATCATCTTCATACACTACCCAGTTTTAACTTGAAATCTAATTTTTATACATACGACCTATAAATCTAGAATAGTGAAGATAAAGCAAAAGGTGTTTAACGGGTGCAGAGATTCCCCGGAAAGTGATATGCAGATTGCTACATTTGAACACCATTTTAAGGCTCCTAAGTCCTACCTACAAAATTTTTTGTTGCTAACTAGGTCCCTAATCTTTTAGGTTTTTTTCAATTTGGTCCTCAATCTTTTAAAATTATCAATTTTACCCCTAATGAATAAAAAATTCCCAATTAGGTCATTCCACCAAAGGATTGTAAAAATTTATTAACAAAAAGTTGTTTTATTAACATTTTGAACACATTAATATGTCACTCTTGTTAACAAAAAGTTATTTTATTAACATTTTGAACACATGAATATGTCGCTCGGATGCTACTTACACACGAAACTCAACTCTCTCATTAACAAAATTCGACCATTCATCAACAAAGTCCACCAAAAGACATGTCCATATATCCAAATATGTTAACACAACAATAATTTAATGACACGTCAACTTTTTATTAACAATTTTTAACATTTTTTTATGGATGGACTTAATTGAGAATTTTTAATACCTCATGATAAAGTTGAGAAATTTAAAAGATTAAGGACCGAATCGAGAAAAACCTAAAAGGTTAGTATAGATTTTGAAAATTAAAACATGAACAGCAATTGACCTTAGACATGGCCAGTCCTGCTACATAAGTTTCTCCATCTGCAAATTTGTCATAAAGTACCTCTCTACATCCCCACCTTAGATGGAATCTGCTCTAGAAGGTAAAAAAGTGTCCAAATGAGAGGCAACAAAGATACAAGCCACAAGTACTGAAACAAAACCTAACTAAAGCCATGCATACCTGCCCCCTCTATCTGTGATATACTTTCTTATGGGACCACTTAAGAAAACGTCTGGAGAACCTTTCAGCATGCGTAATAGAGAAGCCTCAGTCTTAGTAGCAAACAACGAGAAAATAGTAAGCATACAACGGGCACTGATGTTGTCACAATCAATAAATCCAAGAGCATATGCAACCGGATCCCACATTCTCTGTATACTGCCACGTGTGCCACCTTTCGACAAGAACCATTCTGAAAAACTTATCTGTATATTTGAAACAGCAGCATTTAGAATCATAAAGATGTATCAAATATTTTCTTTGTATCATAACTTATCATGAGGTTCAAGGAAATAAAGACATAAAAATCAGGCCAATATATTCATGAAACACTGGAGGAGAGCAGCGTTCCTTTCCTCCCCATGACAGGTAACGAGGTATTTTCCATAATAAAAGACATTTAATATTTATGAGAATTTATGATATTTGTTGAACCAGAAAGAAATTATAAGATCCGGTATGCGAGGATAAGAAAGAGAGCGTTCTCACACTATCCAAATCTCGGATATCCTTCATTGCTCCATCTGGATTAACAAGAGCCTTGACAACTGGACTAAGGGCGAGAGCCACAGCATTTCTTGCTTTATCATACGTCTGCATTTGGTGATTGTTTTAGAAAAAATGTCAGAAAAAGATGTCCATGAAGCTAGACAATGAGATCATTTTATTCATCATTGAAAAAACTATGAGTAACAGAGATGATTAAATATTGACATCACTTCAGTATCAATGCTAAGCAAAATAAAACCTTATGAAACTCCAAGTTAAATAGGTCACAACAACAAGCATATCTAGCATTAAAAAGATGTTCAAGGTTCCACAAGACGATGGCATGGGGAAAAAGAACTCGAGTGGCAATGGAAAACATTACATTGAGCTGATTTGTGGCCAAGAAAGCAAGAATTCCATGTATTGGAGCTCCAATGGGAAAGCGGAAATCAAGTTCTGAGGTTATTAGAAACAAGTCACAATAATATTTACACGGTTTAAATATAAAGTTGATTTAACAAGTGGTAAATTGAACTCCATGACATACAGAATAAGAAATAAACCCTTACCTCCAATTTCACCTCCCTTATTTACAAAAGTATGAGTATGATCCTTCACAAGTAGGTTTTGGTCCGCGCCAACCTAATCTCAAGTAAAGAATACAGAAACTTCAGCTCGCTCTGTCTTGAATTATAGAATATAAAATAAGATTGCTAGTGAGGAGAATTGCATCTACTATCATTGAAAACAAGCTGAAGGGCGGAAAAAACGCTGCCATATATGTTCTTGAAAGTCTTAGTTCTTAGTTCTACATAGACCAACTAAATGCAAATAGATTCCAGTTGACAACCCAAAGGCAAACTTGATAAAAGCAAACATGGTATTTTACTTATTATGTGAACCAAACCAAAACTAATTCATCTCGAGTTAAGTACAGATCACTAATATGAAATACTGAATAAGGATTATAAGAGAACATAAAGCCTCTTGGATGACCAGAGAATACATAGAACAGGAGATTGTACTTCCAACGCTTGGTGTGCTTAATAGTTTCTCCTAATAGTCAACGTTAACGAGGGAAAAAGAATCATAAATATTCAAATGCCATTTCTTAATCAATAAAGTAGACTGTCTTCACCTTTTTCATTAAGCGAAAAAGATTGTTGTAACAACCAAAGAATACATGTAGTCCCATTTCAATGTGATTTCCACGTTTATCGACAAATGATCCCACTTTACCACCAATGAAGGTCCTTGATTCATATATATCAACCTGAAATTATAAAAGGCACATGTGATAAATATCGTAGCATTGTATATCATTCGAGCATCATAAAATGCTAAGTTAAGAGGTAAACATTTACATTCACACAAATTGAAATCGAATCTAAAATTTGATTGTGTTTTTTTATTTTCTTTTATCCGGTAAGGGTGAGTTTAAAATGAATTTTGGAAAGAGTGCTGTTATCCCATTAAAATCACTTTTCAAAATTTTCATAATGTTTGGTCAAATTATCAAAAGTAGTTTTGAAAATTCTAAAGACGCTAAGAGAGATTTTGACATACCTTCTAATTTAATCCCTTTTGAAAAAAATATTTCTTCTTAAAACACTTCCAATAAAAATGGTTTAATTAAAATACTTGTGTATTTAGTTACATTGTCTTAAAAGTGATTCTAATCAGTTGTTTGTTTACATGCACTACATCTAGAAATGATTCTACCCATCTCAAATTACTATACGATGATTCTAAAGTGATTCTCAGTCAATCATTCTAGAATTCGTCTTTGGAGGATCAACTCTAAAGTGATTACTCCAAATATGATTTAAAACCAATTTGATTATAACAAAACTGATCTTTATTCGTTACCAAACACTCTAGATTAAAAGAACACACACGCATTTTTCCCTCCAAGATTACTTAGAAAGTTAATACAAACACACCCTAAAAAAACATATTGCTATTAGGAGAAGCACCGATGCTTCCAGAAAGTAGTGATAGAAGAAGTGAACCTCATGGCCTTGATCCAGAAGTTCAACAGCGGTGGACATTCCCGCAAGCCCAGCTCCAATAATAGCAACTTTCAATTTGGGTCCCCGATATCGTTCAGGTTCGGGGGGAAACAGTCCTTTGGGAGCTGTCAGATGAACCATTAACTAGATTATACTAAAACCGCCAAATGATTAAATCTCTAACATTATTTCTCTCGACCTAAAAATCGAACAGCATAATTTCCAGCAAAAACGCAAAATAAAAAATGAATTACCTACCATTAACACTCATATCAGAAACATCCTTGTCCAAGGACGAGCGAACCAAGAATCTTGGGCTGTTGAGGAGAGTCACCGTGACGGACCCACGACCAGGAAGTCCAAAACCGCGCTTTCCCGTAAAGGGAACAGAAGGAAACAGAACCCCAGAAGCCATAGTCGAAGAAACGAAGATGAAAAGGGGCGGAAATTGAGCTTTCGGGGGCTGAATTTTACAAAATCAAAGGCACCCGTTGTGGAAAAGGGGGAATTGGGGTTGTTTTTTTAAGGCTGAATCCGATGGAAAGAGAGTATCCGGGGGATGGAGATGCGTTGGGTGAGAATTTTGTCCTGTAACTGAGGATTAAGAAGCAGCAAAGTTGGGTTGAGTGTGGGTACGAGTGTTGTTGCCAAAAGTGGTTCTGGTAATGGGTTTTGAGACTTAAAAAAAGAAAGAAAAAGAAGTGTGCGGGAGACTGTGAGAAAGAGATAGAGACGCGCGGGGAAAGGAAGTGGTTCCGCTAACGATAATGCGCCACCAAACGAGGGACTCGCGCTCGGTGGAGACTGAAGAGAAGGTACGAAAATAAAACAAAAAACAAAACTTTTTCCTTTTTAATTTATTCTTCTTCCCTCTTCCCACCTTCACTCTCTCTTCTCTCGTTTCTTTTCTTCCCTTCTCTATTCGTCTCCCTTTTTCTCTTACTTCTCTCTCTTCCTCCTTTTTTTCCTTCCTCCCTTCTCTCTTCATCTCCTTTTCTCTCTTCTTTTCTTCCTCGTTCTCTCTCTTCTTCCACCTCATTCTCTCTCATTTTTGTCAAGACCAATCGATCGTCCATTAGTCGATGTTGTAGAGTCTTCTAAAACAAACTCCGACTTATGAAGATTGATTTATTGGTGGTCCGTGTCGATTTTAGCCTAATATTGGCATCGATGGATCGATGTACACCTCCACTATTTATACCATAATAATATTACTACAAACAAATCTTTGACTTCTATGACAATGGTGAACAATAAAAAAGTCTGAAAAAATTGTTATAAATTGCTTTAGGCACATTTTTTGCAGGAATAATGCTAATTTTTGAATTTATATAAATTTATGACCGTTAATAACTATCAAAAAATAGAAAAAAAAATCTTGATTTAATGAGAGTTAAATTTTTTCATGAAATGGTGGAGGCAATTTTTGCAGTGAACTTTTTAATAATTTATGACATTTTTTAGATGTCAGAAAAGTCAAAAACACTGACATTACATGACAGTTGAAAAATGGTAGGCATGATTTTTGAAATTAAAGAAACGTCACATATAGTTCTACATGTGTTTTTAAAAAAATTAAGGACTTTTTTTTTTCACGGTCACATCTTGGTTATTAATGATTTCAGATTCTACGAAAAAAATGTCACAAATTGTATGAGCGTGTTTTTCTAGCCGAAAGAGGAGAGATTTATGATTAGATTTAAAATGAAGTAACACACCGAACCAAAAACATTAGTTTAGATAAGTTAATCTTTTTAGTTCATAGAATTCAATATTTTCTCATACCCTCTGTTTGACGTTAAGAATGTTAAACAAATGACTTAAAATTCTGTGATTTGAAAATTGAGAAATGATTTAAAATGATTTATCTTGTTTGGAACGAGAATGATTTGAAATAAATGTAATTAAATTTATTTGTTTCAATGTTCGTTGGAAATCAAAAAAAAAAAGTAAAAAATTATTGATTTAGATTTTAATCTAAATTTATTAATTAGAAATTAAAATAGGTTAAATAAGTACTTTACTTTGAAATTCTATAAAATCCTTCGAAATCTGAAAATTTTGATTAGGAAATTTTGGTTTAGTTACCTCAAAGGAATACCAAATGGACCATTAATCTTTATTTTTCTTTTTAACTAAAGATCTCTTGGTTAGTTTTTGTTTCTCAAATTTCTTACGAGCCTTTGATTTTTTTATTTACAAGGGTAAAAAGAAACTAGTTAGGTGCTGTTTTCAACTGTTTTACACTCAGAAACCGTATTTTAAGCTTAGTTTAGTATCCAAAACCTTTCATTTGGAGTTATCTTATATTATACATGCATATAGGACATTTTTACATCATTTAGAGTTGATTTCTAACGGAAATTAAAATTTTGTATAGAAAAAATTTAAGCTAGGCACCTGGCGCCTTGTCCAATTCTGAGAATGCCCTTAATGTAAAATGAAAGTTTTTGTGTGTTTTGAAGCTTCCTCAAGCCCCTCCACGTATCTTCTATGCATTGATGATAGCCAATTCAACAACAAACCAACTAAAAGATGCTGTAAAGGGATGGTTCTCCATAAATTCCTCAACCGCCTAACCAACTTGAAGCTCCCTATAAATAGGGCATCTCCCTCTCTTAATTCATCATCTTCAAGTGATCATTTTCAGCTTTAGACACTATACTCTCAACTTATTTACATTTTACCTTTAAGTCTTGAGTTGTTATTGTTTTAAACTTTGTTTATTTCAAGTTCATCCTTTATTTTCCAGCTTGTTATTCTTCAATTGTAAGTTTGATCTTAGTCAATTAAAATTTCATCAAGTTCCTTGATATTCATCTCTTTCTCTACAAAGTTGTAATCACACAATCTTGTGGAACTGACCGAGTATTGCTCCCCAATCTTGAAAGAGAACGGGTTAGGGGTCACTTGGGTTATAACTCACCCATTTTCAGCTTGTTTTAATTATATTCATGTTCTAATCATGTCTCTTATTTACATCAACGTTCAATTCTGTTTTTCCTCTGAAGTTATGAGCTAAATTTATTTTCTCAAGCCTAGTTATGGATAATTAGCTAAAGTTTTTAAAATCCAACAAGGCAAAATGTGTTTTTCTTTTCTTTTATCACTTAAGGTGGTTTTCTAAAGTTAAAACTTGAGTTGGCCAGTTAATGTTTTAACCAAGCATCAATACTGAAAGGGTTGATACATTTTCACAACTTTAAATGATTCAACTTTGGAGAGAAATACTTTAGACATAAAAATTTCGCTCGGGTAGCCTACGCATAGGACCTCGACTTGAGGTTACGATTGACTTTTATTAAATTAAGTTCAATTTTCTAATAGATATATTAGGGATGAACTTATACCTTCAAAATCACTTAGACATAAGAAGATGACGAAACAAATCTGATGAAAAATATTGAGAGGCGCATGGAAAAAATTGTCGTATATTTTTAGTTAATTTGAAATAACTGGGTTGGGTTTATTGCATTGAGTTTTAAAATATAAAAACCAACATTATCCTTGATATTTGTTACCCCAAATTCAATTGCAAAGTCATTGATCAACATCATTTTCATTAAAAAGACTTCATTTGTCCCCGAGGAACGATACTCGGAATACTCATTCTGTTTTACTACTTGTGACAGGTGTACAGTTGCGCTCTATCATTTATTTTCATTCCAAAATCCCAAACAGCCTTCAACACTTTTTTTTTAATAAAAATAGAAGATTTTGGGGAAGACTATTATAGGTTTAGTTACCTGATGTATGGACTAAACAAGCCTCTAACCACTTGAATCCAATCGTATAGATGGTTCAACTCGAAAGGGAAAAGTTAGAAGGATTACCTTTGCAGTCAAATACCATGAGTAGATAGAATACTTACTATACTCAAGGTTAAAACACTCCACGAGTTTGTGACCAAGGCTAAAACACTCCACGAGTTTGTGACCAAACAAGCTTTGTCTGTCAGGGTTAAAATGTAGGTTTTGTGCATTCTATGGAGTGATTCATGCTCATCCATAACATGCATATATTTGAAAATATTTTGTTAATAATTAAGTAGAGCACGTTGCTAATACATAAAGTATGAAACTGATAGTTTTGTGGAGCAAAACTAATAAAAACGTCAATTTTCAAAGTATATACAAGTAATTCCCTTCTTCCTCCGGTGAGTGAAAACACGTTTTGAGCTGAGGACAGCAGAGACATTTTCATAGGTACGGAGACTTTGTCAAGTCGAAGCAGTTGAGTCCGTTTGGGTGATTCTTCAATACCCAAACTCCATTATTCTAGCTTCAACTTCCTCTTTTTATGCGGTATAGTTGCAGCATCTCTCGTTCCTATAAATTCCCAGCATCTCTATAACAAAATCATCATCACTTAAGGTTTAAATTTCGTCATTTGTATTTTTTCCACCTTTCTTTAAACTTTAACTTTGTTCTTTTGTTATCTACAAGCATATCTTTATTCTTCTTTACTCGATTTCTATTTACTTCAGTGTGTACATTGTTGTGGCAAGATTTATCTCGTTCCAAGTTCGAAAGAGACGAGAGTCAAGCTAGGATAACTTAAGGTCCTTTATTTTATTGAATTTTCCTTATTAAACTTTATTTCCAATAAATGACAAGTATTTTTTTTATCATTACAAGTATTGTTTGCATTTCAATCATGAGCTAAGTTAGTTTTTCAACCTCGCTGTGGAATGCCATAGAAAAATCTTTAAAAAACAACAAGAGGAAAATTTCACAGGTTACTCTCGACACTACTTGGTTAACTCCTAAACATTCTTTCATAAGTGATTTCTTGAAGTTGGCCACTAAGAACTTTGATAAAGTGAAGTCTAATACTGAAAGAGTTAGGTTAAGTGGATAATAGGGAGTTAATATGGAAGGTAGCTTAGACATAAACACATAAAACATGACCCTATAAATAGGACCTCTTACCCACAAAATAATAGTTGACTAGTAATCTTTAGATTTTGACTAATAATCTTTAGGTTGTAACTACCCATAGACATATGAGCAAGTAGTTAACCGAGTCCTTGTGTTGTTACCTAAAAACTAAGGCATCGGACGTAGAAGGGTTATCTTTTATTCAATAGCCTACCCTTCTAAAATTCAAACCACCACAACATTCAATCTTTTGACCAAGAAAACCAATTGAAATTGAAAGCTTTTCACAACAATTTTTAAGAAGTCCATGTGGATACAAACTTAAAAAACTCATTTTTCCTGCATTACTTGTGGTTAGAGAAGAGATTAAGAAGACAAAGAGAAAATAAAAAAGAGAAAGAAGTTGAAGAAGACAACATTGAAATGAATCCCCATCCATGAGTAGATCCTCCCTTGTATGGAGAGGTCGGAATGTAACGCCCCAGAACTTCCCACACACTTCTAGGTCACGTTAACTACCCACTTGTCTAAACTTAACTCCAAACACGAGATGACAACTCCCTGTGAGATAATTATATAAAATAAAGCTACAACTCTCATCAATTTACCAATGAATCAACTCTATAGAATATCAATCAAACATCATCCGTGGACAACCCCATGAGGCAACTTCATTATTCCAACTAGGAAAACTCAATGAATGGAAGAAAACTAAAATAAACACCTATTACGAAAAAAAATAGACAACGAGTGGGAACCTCCCAATTATTCAAATAAGAACAAGTAGTTTATTGACCAAAACATAAGAACTTAACCATCTAAACCTAAGCTAAGCAAAAGTAACTACGCAGCCTATGGTCCTCGCTCGTCATGTCTCCTCCACTTCATCACCATGGTCGCCAACGAATCC